GAAGTGGAGATAGAAAACATAAAAGTGGAGCTAGAGAACATAAAAAGGAACCAGTCAGAAATAAAGACTACAATAAATGAAATGAAGAATACCTTAGGAGGAATTAACAGTAGATTAGATGAGGTGGAGGATCAAATCAGCATTTTAGAAGATAAGATAGCAGAAAACACCCAATCAGGATGGCAATAAGAAAAAAGACTTTAAAAAAAATGAGGATCTTTTAAGGAGCCTCCAGAACAACATCATGCGCACTAACATTCGCATCATAGGGGTACTAGAAGGAAAAGAGAGAGCAAGGAATTAACCTATGTCAAGAAATGACTGAAAACTTTCCTAACCTGGTGAAGGAAATAGACATAAAAGCTCAGGAAGTGCAGAGTCTCAAACAAGATGGACCCAAAGAGGCCCATAACAAGACACATAATAATTAAAATGCCAAAGGCTAAACAAAGAGAGAATCTTAAAAGCAGCAAGAGAAAAGCAGTTTGTTACCTGCAAGCGAGCTCCACTAAGACTGTCAGCTGATTTCTCAATAGAAACTTTACCAGTCAGAAGGAATTGGTATGAAATATTCAATGTGATGAAAACCAAAGACCTACACCCAAGATTACTCTACACAGCAAAGCTATCATTTAGACTCAAAGGACAAATAAAGAGCTTCACAGACAAGAAAAAGCTAAAGGAGTTTGTCATGATCAGGCCAGCATTACAGGAAATATTAGAGGGACTTCTTTAAGAAAAAGAAGAAAAAAGAAAAAAAGAAAAAAAATATGAATAATAAAATGGCAATAATTACTCTAACACAAGTGCTCTAGGCCAGGAACCTGTACCTGGGATATTCCAGGAAAACCACCAGGGAGGACCAGAGGGGTGTGACATGCCTTTATTACTCACGGCACGGAGAAGCTTCAGCAGTGGCTAGTTGGAGCTTCAAGAAAAGGCCTCAGGTCAAAGGTAAGCAATGTTTTTATGCCCACAAGCAGAGAGAGAGGTAATCTCACTGGAGGAGCAGCCTCCTTCTCAGGTGGGTGGGAGCAAGATGTGCTGCTGGTTATAGGAGTAGATAACGTCCATGGGAGCAGCAGAAACATCCTTAGAAGCAAGCACTGTTGAAAGCCCTTTGTGTACTGCCTTTCTTGGCTGCTGGCCAGACAGCCAGTTGTCTTCTGAGTATGTGGAGGGGCTATGTTCTGAATTAACACCACAACTACATATCTAGCAATAATTACTTTAAATGTAGATAGGTTAAATGCTCCAATCAAAAGAAAGGGCGGCTGAATGGGTAAGAAAACAAGACCCTTACATATGCTGCCTATAAGAGACTCGCTTCAAATTGAAAGACACACTAAAAGTAAAGGGATGAGAAAAGATGTTTCACAAAGATGGAAATAAACAACAACAACAACAAAAGCTGGGGTAGCAATACTTATACCAGACAAAATAGACTTTAAAACAAAGGCTATAACAAGAGACAAAGAAGAATCCAGTTATTCTACTTCTGTGTATTTATCTGAAGAAATACAGAACACTGCTTTGAAAGGACATGTGAATCCATATGTTCATTGCAGCATTATTTACAGTAGCCAAGATATAGAGACATCCTAGGTGTCCATCAATGGTTGAATGAATAAAGAAAAGGTGGTATATATATACAATGGAACAATAGTCAGCCATAAAAAAAAGGATGAAATCTTGCCGTCTCCAACAATATGGATGGACCTAGAGTTTATTGTGCTCAGTCAGACAGAGAAAGACAAATACCACAGGTGGAATCTAGAGAATAGTATAAACAAACAACAGAAACAAGCTCATAGATACAGAAAGCATTTTGATGGTTGTCTGATCAGGGGTTAGGGAATGTGTGAAGGAGGAGGGCATTAAGAGGTACAAATTGGTAGTTACAAAGTAGGCATGGGGATATAGAGTATAGCATGGGGAATATAGTCAGTAGTATTGTAATAACTATGTATGGTGTCAGATGGGTGCTGGATTTATCAGGATGATTACTCCTAAGTTTTATAAATGTCTAATTACAGTGTTGTACACATGAAATTAACATAATATTGTATGTCAAATAATTTGAAAAATAAACAGTGGTATTCATACATTGTGTAGATAGGTATGGGAGTCAGTATATTTTTTACTCAATAAAAACACCAAGGCCTTTACAATGGATCAAAAATGGTGAGATTCCAA